AGGTTGTTGTGTTGAGAATATTCAGGAGAATATTTGTCATTGTTCAAATGATAATAAACATTTGCATAAAGCATATTTGTCCACTCATATGTTGATAAGAACATTAAAAACTTGAAAAATATTCCTCTAAGCTACATTTAGAACACGTAAAAAATGTGCGATCAATTTGCGATTAACTATGGACATCATGCGATTAATCGCGATTAAATATTTGAATCGACTGACAGCTCTGATTAAAAGTTAAAGAACACTTGTTATAGTCAATCAGTAATACAGCTATAACGATCTCTCTTTACATGATGTCATGGAAACGTATAGATTGTGTCAGTCAACAGTGTGCTGGCATTCAAACATTAACACGGGGAAATAATCAATCAATTAAGTGGGCAAATTATTAATGATTTGATTTTTCTGTAGAACACGTGCGTGTGGCGTTAGAGTGTGATTGGCTCTCTAACGCTGCAGCTGAATGTTAAACCCCTTAGTAATACTGGGTAATCAATGTCTGCTCTATAGAGCCAGCCACAACTGTCTGGATGTCCGCCAACAGAGAAGAACAAATATCAGATATATCTGAATTTCAATCGTTAAACAGAGTGTTTCAGCGATACTTGTTTTTACAAGAACTTGTAGCAACTTGTTGCGTTGAATAAAGCAAACCAGTGAGCATGAGAGAGAGAGAGAAACAGAATAGAAAAGAAACAAGTCTGCTCCCAATAGAAACTTCAGAAACACAGAACATACCTTCTCCATGGTCATCATGTTGATGCCAAAGTGAGCCAGGTGCTCCGGGAGCTTGGAATCCAGAACCATGTCATCCTCATCGTAGGAGTACACATCTGGACAGAAACAGAAGAGACAATGAGGGCAATGAAGGCCAACGCTTAAGACAAGTGGACACATTGTAGATAGTCTGTTACATTTGAACACTAAATATCTGTAATATGATGCCCTTGTTATCAAACCAATGTCCCATTTTATTATCCCTTTATAGCTATTAGAAATATTTAGAATATATTTTTGATGAAATGTGAGAAAACCGTATCAGAAGCCGTACTATCTTAGTCAGCTGGAGGAGCATGTCTGAGTTGTAATATATTGATGTAATGGCTAGCAGGGGAATGAGAGACAAAGTAAACCCAATCGAACTGTGGTTTATAAAGACATCAGACAGTGTAGTTTGCAATAGTAATGAAGAGTCAAGCCCACACCAGCATAGAAATGGGCAGGTTTTAGCTGAGCAGCTAATTAGCATGATGTAAAAAGTGCCCTTTTCCATGGTGAATATTTTTGATTGTGCAGGACAACAAGTATTCATGTTATTTTAAAATAAACTTTTGCAATCAAGATAATTTGGGTTTCTGGATTAAGCATTTTTTGGCAGCCTGCTGTCATCAAAACAAAAGTTTGATTGCATGTATGTAATCATATTCAACATAGTATATAAAAGAAAGCTGTTGAATTTTACTTGAAATGTCTCAGATTTTACCACAAAAAATAAGGAATTGAGCAATCTGCTTACCTCCTCCATCGGGAGTGATGGTGCCAAGTTTGACGGCAATAGGGAATCCAGTCTGCTGGAAGTGGAGGAGGGCGTGGTTGTTGCCCCCGGAGCCATCAAAATACCTTCGGCCGCACATCATTTTCCCGTCCGTCAGGTTCATCCAAATGTTCTCCTGGAGGTCACACACCTCACACCGCCAGCCACTAGGATGTTCAAGACACAGGTCACAAAAAATGTCTTGCACTGCTTTAAAGATCTTGCAGGCTTCGTCTTATAAAACTGAACAGCTATCTCTATTCTAAATATTATGACGCAGTAATTGGACTAATGCAATAACGGATGCTGAATGCAATAGCGTCATTGCCATTTTTTGCACATTCTTCCATCAATTTACAGCAGAGAAATAAGTGAAACATTTGTAGGCACTCAGTTATGAGGAACTGTATGGTAGGTGTTTTGAAGAGACAGCTCTAACGCCTCACCTGGGTGGGATCTTGACTCCGTTGTCAAGCTGTTTCAGTTCGGGGGCGTGCCTTGACTCCTGTCTCAACTCTCCATCCCACTGCTGAACTTGTAAGGCATGAGACACTGAGTCGGCTGACATGATCCCCGCCATTGACAGGGACACCTTGAGGGATGGTAGTCAAAAGAAAGACATTAGACCTGACTAATAGCTCGTAATAAAACTTCCAAACTACTTGATCACTGATGGTTTGAAGTACCAGGATGGTTAAGGCAGGAAGGAAGAGTAGTGTGTGTAGAAATTGCACACCTCCTGGCTACCTAGCCTCCTACTGGAGACTACAAGTCAAGCAGGAACAGATGCAGTTCTTCCTTGCATCAAACTACTCCACTGTCACACCACATGACTGCGCTGGATGCAGACACATCTTGCAGCTGCAAACTCAGCTTTCTATGTCACTATAGCATGACTCTGTTCTCTTTTTGTTGCTTCAATCAATTACATTTACTATCAACACCAATTGGAATTGGATATATACAAAAGTGGCGATTTTCCCCCCTAACTGAATGATAAATATGTATCTTGCCAAAAAAAGACAAAAGATGTCTCACCCGCTCTCTCACAACGTCAGGCATGGTTGCAAGGTCGTCTGATGTCACTTCCTGTCTGTCAGGTAAAATGATCACCTTATAGTCCTCCTCATACAGCTCCTGCTCCACATCAAACCCTCCTTCAATCCCTGGAAAGACAAAACAATATGATAGTTACACAGCTCAGTCTCAAAAGAGGACATTTAATGTATCTGTGTTTATGTAAAAACGCTCTCATACACTAACCTATAGCCAGTCTGGTGGGCTTTTTCTTGGGCGGGTGTCCAGATCCAGAGTTACTGTCATCTTCCTTTTGTGGGAATGACAAAATGTATCAATGGTTGTAAGTTAAGTTCACTTGACGTGTTAAGAGATGGTGTGGATGGTGTCAAAAGTTTTACATTTAATTGACTGGTCTATTGATTGGTCTGGACAGGAAAATAAATCCACCTTAGCTTTGCGAGTCCGGGTGATGTGGAAGTAAGCCCTCTGGCCAGTCCGGGCATGGTGCCGTTCCACATACTGCCTCCCAAAGCCAAGGAAACTGTTCATGCACACATACAGGCCTCCTTCGCTTTCCTGCAAAAGAAAACAATGTTAAATGTCACAACCTGTCGTGATGTCTTCACATTGTGACACAACAATGGGAAGTTGAAGATGAAGGAATGTGGATGTCTTACCCATCTCACATCACTCACAAATTGATAGAAAACTAGCTATACATTGAGATTCAAGATTCAAAGGCGTAATTGCCATATGCACAGGAGCTACAGTGTAGTTAAGGCAATGAAAACTCCTCCAACAATGCAACATCAATATTTATATATACAATATTTTTATTTTAAAAAAAGCTATTAAATAGTGCAAGAAGAAACGGAGCCAAAATAACATTTGGAAGGATTGTGTTTCAAGAAGAATGTTCAAGTAATGTAGAAAGAAAAAAAACTAGCCTATACACATCAAATAAAATACAAGGAGCTAAATGTTGCAGAGAATGTTGCATGTGGCCCAGTAAATGCAGAAGCCTACATGTAAATAGAAAAGGATAAACAAAGACAGAATGTAATATTAAAGTGGAATACATACTGGTTATTGTATTAATAAATAGATGTGTGAATTGAACCTGCACATTTTTGCAATTGAGCCCAACACGGGTTTAATGATATCAAATTCCAACTTAGGTTACAACTGTAACCTAAAAGGTGGAAATACTATATGCTATGAAAAGCTAAAAACATAGTTACTATCCTGCTAAAGTTGTGACCACAAAGCGACTCAGTTAGCTTGATAGCTAGTTTGACAGCAGTTGCACTGACATAGCTAGCTAACTAGCTATAGCGTGATGTTTCCATTACAGTGCAGTATTAGCTTAGCTTGACGCTAGCATGCTAGTTGGTCTAAACAGGAACATATTGGAAGCCAGCGCGTTAAAGTAGGACAGCCCTGACACACCGTTGCATTAGCTAAACACAAGAGGGAGTGAAGGGGAATGAGAAATGAAACAACACGGTTTATTAGTTGACGTTTTGATTTGTAAAAGGGGAAAATGGCTCACCGGAGAGGAAAATGACAAGGCGCATTCGTCTTTGTGGACACGGTCCCCGGGCTTCGGAACCCGAATTGTGGACAAAACCGACATCAAAACCTCTCCAACATCCGCCATGACAAGATAGCTAGTTCCGCCTTTCTGGTGGGAAACTTGTTCCTTTGAGTTTGGACCCCCAGCCTCTTGATTTCCCGGCTCGGATAGTGTATGTTGTCTAGCCCGTCTTGTGGTGTCTGTGTTAGGCTGAATGAATCATGAGATGCTGCCTTGTGTTGAGGGAAGGCCGAAAGAACTCAGTTGCCCGCACACCATTACCGTAATGCTTAGCATATCGGCAACGTCGTGATTTTCTAATGCAGTACTCGCATCGCATCTAGAAAAGCAGAGTCGCTACGTCTGTGTATGAAGAATCAGTTCATTAATTGAATAGTAGTATATATTATGGTTGTCTTTTTTCATCTTGAAGAGCATCAATTGTCGCATGAGATCTATGCATGAGATGTACAATATAAATACACTTTGTGTGACTCATATTTGTGTATTTACGGTAAAGTCCGTTGATGTCAACCAACTGCTTCCTCTCGCGGCCACAAAGACTAACTGCAACTTAACGTGCCTGAAAGTTAACGTAAACCCCTTAAAGACATCGTTGGGCGTTACAATGACCTCAAAACAAGTACAAACGTTACATTTAGTTTGAATTAAACACAATAATTGAACAGCAGGAGACGTTAACTTTGTATAGTAGTAGATACATCATGTGAAATTATACTGAAAGCGTATACTTTTCCACAAACAGGAGGAAACTTTCTCCCCAGTATTTCCATAGTCCCTCCTCTTCTCCTTCTCGGGGTTTCTTGGAACCATGGCGCTGCTGCAGGCTGATCATCTCACTGTATACGTGGCGTTTCATTTTGTTTTAATAACATTACTTAGTTTCACCTCAGCGACCCCGGGTAGAGGCAGCGCTAATGTGTTGTCCCTGCCGCAGCCGTACGACTTCTTGTATTACACCGGGGTACGGTCGTATTTCGGTGAGGAGTGGGTGAAGGCAGCGGAGCTTCTGGAGAAAGCCATCCTGACCAAGGAGTCCCTTTCCCGGGTACGCAGGCAGTGTCATGAGGAGTGTGTGGAGGCAGGGAGAGAAGCGTTCAACAGACTGGGTAAGGTACAATTTATATGCTCAAATAATTCTAGAGTTATTGTCAAATGCGTAACAGCTGCAAAGTTTTTTGTGGCAATTGATATTTTTTGCTGCCTAATATACACAATTGTGCATATTAATTAGTGCACATTTTCACAAAATTGTATATGCATATTCTTTTTTTGTTTGAAAAAATATATATTTTAATTGCACATGTTTACAATAACTTCTTATATAGCATACATATTTAATTCTACTATATCCTTTAATCACACAGTTTTATTTCTACTTTAACTTCCTATGTTTACATGTATATCAATATTTTGGATTTAATTGTATATAAAAATGGTGCAACCCAATTTCACCCCGTAATAAATAAAGTATAAGGATTGTGATAACTCTGAGAGTCCCAGACTCCTCCAACAATGCAACAATCCATATACTTTAGACATAAAAGACACAAAATAAATAAAGTATTGCAGTAACACATTGCAATAGACATAACTATATAAGTAAGTTGCAGGAATAAGAACAATATATACTGTACATGTAAAAATATATACATTTCTCTGTTTGTAAGGAGAGGAAATCTGTGTCACTTATTAAAATATGTCTTCATTCTGGAATTTAATAATTACGAGATAAAAGATTAGCATTTTTACCAGAAAATCGTTCTTTTCACTTCAACCTCTTTTATTTAGTTAGGTTTAAAGTGCATACATGTATAAACTCAAATTGTTGACGATGCATACACTATTTCTATCATTTAGAAATGACTATCTTTGGTATAATGGATGGAAAATGTTGCATGGTACAGCATATTTCACTTATAAGAAATAACTAATGTTTTCTGTGTGGTCAGACTCTGAGAAGGGGAGTCTGCATGATCTGTGGACCTTGGACTGGGTTCAGCAGAGAGCTGAATGTCTGCGGTTCTGTGTCGGACGCTCGGTCTCACCTGCAGCACAACTTCCTGTTTCTACCGACATAGATTATGAATTTGGATCTCGTAACCCCTACAACTTCCTGCAGGTCACTTACTACAAGGTAGAGATCTATGACGTACTAATACTTGTTCATTTCTCATGATACAGTTCAAAGTCTTAGCTGGGATTGTCTAACGTAATTGACTCTCTTTCTGCTTTGAAGTTGGAAAAGTTGCAGAAGGCGGCGTCTGCAGCTCATACCTATTTTGTGGCAAACCCCAGTCACTTGGAGATGAGGAACAACATAGAGAAGTACAGACGGATGGAGGGAGTGATGGAGGAGGCCTTCCAGGACAGAGAGCTGGAGAATGAGAATCATTGGGTGAGGAAGGATGGAGGATAACATTTTTTAAAGGAGAGAAGAATAAAGAGTTTCAGTATGTTTTTGTACAACTGCAACGGTTATGTTTCCATACACGTAATCTTATTTCATGTCCATGCACTACACTGTTTTTCCTGTTCATTTACAAAACTAAATATGGGTAAAGTAGAGCTCAGAATTTAGGTACAAATCTGAAGATCCATTTTCTAAGCCTGATGTAAATATGTTTGATCTCCTTTGTTTTTGACTTAAGGTTGAAAAAAGTTTGCTGGCATATATTTTATAAGAAACAATTTTTTCCATCTGTATTATTAGATTTTTTCACAATCATTTTTGTTGGGTGTTGTTGCAATACACATGTTGGCCACAAGAGGCTGTATATCACCACTAACCAATGTTCTCAATAGGACTAAAAGCAATTGTATGTAAAGAAATGACAGTAACTCATATGGAATAAATCATAGTCGCCACTTCAGCCTCTTTGGGCCAAAACAAGTATTACCATAACAACAAAAACAAAAAATTCACCTGCCAAAACTTTAGGCAAGGAGTCCATCATAGAATTATATATATGTTTATCATTTTATTTGGATAAACAGTGCCAATATATCAACATCAACTGGAGAGATAGTACTGTCTTCACTATTCTTGAGAAATATTTTCAATGTGGAAAGACAGCCCTGGCCTGAGGGCCTGAATTCCTCTCTCACACCTTCACTCTCTCTTATATAACCATCTCATCTAACCCTGGATGTATTTATTCTGCCTGATCAACTTATTTGTCTGTTTGGACACACTTGTTATAACAGGATAAGGCTTGTTTGAAATGGGCTTCAATGATCCATGCATATAGCATGCCTCCCAATGTGTCCACTCTGAACAGATCATGGCTAAGTTTTTACTATTATTTGATTATATCAAAAGCATCATATTCATCTTGAATACACTTTTATTTCTCTCCCTTTTCTCGTCTTCAAACCCAGGTCCTGTATGATTCTGCAGTTCAGTACGAGGCCTCCTCTGACTGGCTGAAAGCTGCAGAGAAATGGAAAGAGTGTGTGAATGAAACACTGCGGCAGACAGACGAGTGCCGGCTGCAGTGTGAGATGGCCTCCCAACGGCTGCCAGAGGACAGGGGGGTGGACGGTAGTAAGAGCGTTTATGAGCAGGCTGCAGGTAAACAACAACAACAAAAGACACCTAGATGTAGGTTTTACTTTTCTGCCTGTTAAACCCCGAGCCTGTTTTTCAGGTCTCAGGCTCGAAAATGACATTCCCAGAACAAATGACCATATCGTCCCTTCTAAAAGGGTTAAATTAATAATCTTTTTTCTCAAAGTAATGATAAACCTGTGAGTTGGATGTAGAAAAGTCAGAATCAATATAGATGTTTTTTATTTTAAAGAAAATTCAGATTGAACATGGTAAAAAACTGTAAATTATAGTGTCCGTCCAACAATTATTTTGTACTTATAGTGAAAACTAACCTTGGATGATGGGTTAGTAGACTAAAAGCTTTAGGAATCCAAAGTACAACATATAATAAGTACCCTGTATCAAGATTGATGCAAAACAAGTGATATTTGACCTTTTTAGACAGATTTAGCAAAAAAACCCTCTTCTGGGGCCATTTGGGTGGATTTTCCATATCTCTGGCCCCCCTTGTTCGATTTTGACATGTACCATGTTGTGTGGACATAATGTGACTTGAAGGGAAATCGTCCCGCACACACTCATGTTAAAAAAAAGGTGTCGTCTCTGCGCATGCTAGCTTGCAGCAGAGGGGAGAAAATAAATAAAATAAATAAAGTAAACGGAAAAGCTGTTTTATTGGATTATCAGAACCTTTCAAAGGGGATACAGCCACATTGGATTAACCTATGGATTAACTACAGCATCGTTTTTATCGTTTTAATGCCATTGAAGACCAGTTTAGACCAGACAACACGAAGGTGTAGTGCCGTGAAAGAGAGTCGGAGGCGGTGTATTAAGAATGGAGTTCCAATCTTTATTATCCATTACTTTCAGAGAGGTTAACACATGCACTGCTCTGCCTGATGAGCTAGCAGGAATGGCAGCTAAAGCTACAGGTGTTCCCCACTAAAGGGTCCGTGTGGCAACACAATAAGCAAGGTGAATTATGTCCAATAACGTGTCACCACACAAGCCCCCCCAGAATTCACACATAAACAAAATCAGCATGGCGGGGAGGAACGACACGCCGACCCCCACGACTCCTGAGCACGGGAGTCGGAAAAGTGACTCCCTCCGCCTGTGCGGGCCCCCCGGAAGGGGAGGGACCGGAACAACAGGTCTTAAATCCGTGACAGGGGACGAGGCCGGGGGGCGGCCCCGTCGCGGAGGTCGAGCCAGCACCACAGGCTGGTCCAAGTCCAGGTGAGCAGCCTTCACCCGGTCCACCGAGACGTGCTCGGCCTTGCCACCCAGGTCGACCACCAGGTGCTTGTCCCCGTGCTCCAAGACCCGGAAAGGTCCATCATAAGGGGGCTGCAGGGGGCCTCTGTGCGCATCGTGCCGGATGAACACGTGCTCCGCCGAGCGGAGCTCTGCGGGAACCTGGGACACCTGAGTACCGTGCTGAGTAGTAGGGATCGGAACAAAGGCCTCAGCGGCGTCACGCAGGAAAGCCCGCTGGGCCGACGCCGACCAGGGAGCCGATGCATTTGGGAGGAAATCCCCCGGAACTCTCAGCGGCTGACCGTAGACCATCTCCGCTGTAGAACACTGCAGATCTTCCTTAGGTGCGGTCCTCAGGCCCAGCATCACCCAGGGCAGCTTGTCGACCCAGTTACCGTCCGTAAGGCCGGCCTTGAGGGCCGCCTTCATGGAGCGATGAAAGCGCTCGCAGAGACCGTTAGCCTGACGGTACGTCCACACAGCAGCTTTTCAAAAATCTTGAAAATCTTGGAGCTGGGCGTGTCTGAAAGCATGGGGATTTCGCGACCAACAACCAATCACATGAATCTCCCGCCCCCGACATACAAAGCAAAAAAAACCCGGTTCTTCTCCACTATTCCTTTTAAACATTTTGAACATTTATGAGATTAATGTCTATGGTGCTATTTTATGCTACATTCCATGCTGGCTAATGATACTGTCTATGCTTGATAGCAACGAAGTAAACTGGATATAAAATCCCCAAACAAGCGAAAACCTACCAGTTTCACCCACTGTCTCTGCCACCTCCCTCCATGCCTCGCTCCTCCGGTTTGTATCCCGGTAAGTAAATAGGGACTGGTCATAAAGAACCGGGTGATTTGCTACCGCAATAACTAACTTCTCCTCCATTTTTGTGGAATATAGAAATGAACTGCGGGTCTGGTTCTCCCAGCTTGCACGCGGTTTGATTGGCTAGCGCTTGAACTGTCAGATTTGCATAAACGGATCTGATTGGCTGTCGCTTCCAGCTCAGCCTCAAAAGTTGAACATTGTTCAACTTTGGAATCCTGAACATCCTGGAAATCCTGGAAATCTTCGCCTCGCCCCCCCACAATGCAGTTCGGCGACAAGCGAGGGAAAGTGACGTCATCCCCATTCAAAGTCAATGGGCGGAGACGCGCTGGAAGCGGTGGACAAATCGCCAAAAGCTGCTGTGTGGACGGGCCGTGAGGGTGGTAAGTGGTAGTCCTGTGCAGCTTAACCCCCAAACCGCCTGCCACAGCGTTCCAGAGCTCGGACGTGAACTGAGAGCCCCTGTCTGAGGAAATGTCTGACGGGGTGCCAAAACGACACACCCACGTTGCAATGAAGGCCCGGGCAACGTCTGCGGCTGATGTCGAAACGAGCGGAACCGCCTCCGGCCAACGGGTCGTCCTGTCCACCATGGTGAGGAGGTAGGAAAACCCCTGAGAGGAAGGCAACGGACCAACCAGGTCAATGTTGACGTGATCAAACCTCCTCTCAGGCACCAGGAAACGTTCCAAACGGGGCCTTCGTGTGGCGGTGCACCTTAGCCGCGTTGACAAGCCACGCACTCCCTGGCCCAAGTCCTCACGTCCCTTTTCAGTCCTTGCCAAACGAACTTCGCCGCTACCAAACGGACCGAAGGTTAACGCCGGGGTGTGACAGGCCGTGCAACAGCCTCGAACACAGGACGCCTCCAGCTGGCAGGGACGACAGGCCGCGCCAGGCCCCGTAGAGACGTCACACAGGAGAGTAATGCCCGCGTCGCCGAACACCACGTCCTCCAAGCGCAGCCCCGCGCTCTCCACCTTCAGGGCCTGGACGCCGGGATCTGTGACCTGGTCTGCCGCCATGCGAGTATAGTCCAGGCCCAACTGGACGGCACCGATGACGACCCTGGAGAGGCAATCAGCAACCAGGTTCGACTTGCCAGCCACGTGCTTAATGTCCGTAGTGAACTCCGATATGTAGGACAGCTGCCGCTGCTGACGTGCCGACCAAGGCTCCGCCACTTTTGACATGGCAAAGGTGAGCGGCTTGTGGTCGACAAACGCCGTAAATTCACGGCCTTCCAGCATGAAACGGAAGTGCCGCACGGCCAAATAAAGTCCGAGGAGCTCCCGGTCAAAGGCGCTGTATTTGCGTTCTCTAGGCGTCAGCTGGCGGCTGAAAAAGGCGAGCGGCTGCCAAGCGCCCTCCACCCACTGCTCGTGCACTGCGCCGACCGCGTAGTCTGACGCGTCCGTGGTGATGGAGATGGGGAGCCGTAGATGATGGGTGTGCCAGCAAAGCCGCCTGAGCCAACGCGGTCTTGACCTCAGCAAAAGCGCCGTCCGCCTCTGCTGTCCAGTCGATCTCCTGGACGGGGGTCTTGCCTTTCAACGCTTCATACAGCGGCCGCATGATGTGTGCGGCCCGGGCGATGAAACGGTGGTAGAAAGTAGGGCTGTGCGATTATGGCAAAAATCATAATCACGATTATTTGGTCAATAATTGATATCACGATTATTTTGACGATTATTCATTGACCATTTATTGAACGTTAAAACAAATAATATTTTACCAATAAACAAGATCAATAAATGTGTTGGAGCGCACTTCCAAACCATACTAAACATATATTAATATGATAAATAAAAATAAATTAGACCAAAATAAATGAAATCAAATATGTTGCAGTGCACTGTCACAACCTACTGAAAACTCCTTAACATATAGCCAACATTTTGGTAAAACATATTCAACATATTCCACTCAGTTAAACGTTGAAGGCTGGCCAACCGTCATGGTCCAGAAGTAACAGGAAATACATGTTGAACTACAATTTAAGACCAAATAAAAATGTTTAGGCCACCATGGCAAATGCTGGTAGGGCTGCTCATGTCATCTCTTAAAGATTTTTTGCAAGAAATACCAGCCTGTTGACATGGTCTGGTTTCAGAGATGAGCGCAGGCAGGTGACGATATTGCTACCTGTACTGAAGACCCTCTCTGAAGAGGAACTTGTGGCAGTGCTGCCACATATGACACAGGAAAAAAAGAAAAGACTCTGAAGAACCCTTTCTTTGCCATTAAATACAAATAGTGTTGCTACAAAAGTATAAATTAGGCTTACTAATAAGACAACTCAGATCTGAAGCTACACAGTAATCTGCTGCAGCAACAGTGCAATAAAAAAGACAACATTAATAGAATCAAACCCATTTTTTGTTGCATTTTATTAGAGTATAAAAAGAAATGCCTTTAAAATAGGATGCAAGCAACACTAGTTTCTGAACTGATAGACTATAATCAATTTAAACAGAACAGATCTTAATGTTGCATTCTTATACCATTTGTACAATAATTATCATGAATAAATTCAAACAAACTAAAACTTACAGCAGATTAATAACGGTATCTAAATTGAGTTTTTATTATATCAAAAACCTGTTGAAATGCTGCTGTTATTTTTAACTGTCCCACAAAAGCGAGTCGCAGCCTCCAGGAAAGCTTCTTTCATTAACTTCGCCGTCTTCGAAAGACTTCATGTGTTTCGCAAGAACGTGACTGACACGATAAGATGCTCTGGTAGCAGCCTTGCTCTTGTTGTTGGGGCCTGGTGAAAATGGACTGCTGTGCATTTAGCTGTGCTCTCAGGCCCCTCCCCTTTTGGAGCGTAGGGCAGAATTAGGAGGGAATTCCGTCTCGTAGCGTTTGTGCACTGTTTTGAAATGCCGCTCCTAAATTACTCTTCTTCGATAAAGCCACGCTCGCATTGCAGATGAGACAGATGGACTTTGAATTGGAATAGATACAAAAATAATGATCCTCCCACTTGGAGTGAAAATTATATATTTTGGGCTTTTTTGCTTCTGCCATAATTGCGGTCTTGTGTGTGTGCGGACTGTCACTCCTGTTGACCATCCATGCTGTTGACACGGACAACGTCAGCGAACTAGTGCACTGCTCACCAGCCACGCCCGGACACATGGGGTGAAGCCGGCCAATCACAAAGCTTTGATGCGTTCAAGTGCATTATTCTGGCACGGGAACATTATGTTACAGGACATTAACGATAAAACAGAATATTGTTGTTCTATTTTTAGACACATCTCGCGATCGACTGGGAATCTCCCCGCGACCCTTCTTTTTAACTAGTTGCTGCTCTTGTTCTGACATCTTCGCTTGCGCTGAACACTCACAACACATGTCACTCCCACGTGGCCGAGTGGGCTTTTAGGGAGGGGCGAAAGCGCACCCAGCAAAATAATCGTATTTTGTCAATTATGCTGTTTTCCTAATCGTCGCAAGCCATAATCGTAATCGCGATTAAAATACGATTAATTGCACAGCCCTAGTAGAAAGTCACCATCCCCAGAAACTCACGGAGCGACCGGGCTGTTAGCGGGCGAGGAAACGCCGCAACAGCCTCCACCTTCGCTGGCAGAGGTGTCGCACCGCCCTTGGTGACGCGGTGCCCCAGGAAATCGATGTCCGACACCCCGAACTGGCACTTTGCAGGATTGATGATTAATCCGTGTTCGTTGAGCCGTGTGAAAAGGGCTCGGAGGTGGGACAGGTGCTCCTGCACTGAAGCGCTGGCGACGAGTATGTCGTCGAGGTAAACAAACACAAACGGCAGGTCCCGCAGCACCGAATCCATCAGGCGCTGGAACGTCTGAGCGGCATTCTTGAGTCCAAAAGGCATCTGCAGGAACTCAAAAAGTCCAAAAGGCGTTATCACTGCTGTCTTGGGAATGTCCAGGGGGTGCATGGGCACCTGGTGGTATCCACGCACCAGGTCCACCTTGGAAAACACCCCCGTACCGGCCAGATGCGCCGAAAAGTCCTGAATGTGCGGCACCGGATCAGGCGTAGTGGCGTCGTTGAGTCGGCGGTAATCCCCGCACGGGCGGAACCCGCCGTTCGATTTGGGAACGACGTGCAGGGGGGAAGCCCAAGGACTGTCGGAGCGGCGGACAATGCCCAGGCGCTCCATGGTTGCGAACTCCGCCCTCGCTACAGCCAGCTTAGAAGGGTTCAACCGCCGGGCCCTGGCGTAGACAGGAGGCCCTCCGGTAGTGACGTGGTGTTCCACGCCATGCTTAGTGGTAAGCGCAGAGAAAGTGGGTAGCGACAGGTCTGGAAACTCGGCCAACAGTCTGAGAAACGTGTCTGCACCTGACAGCGAGCCTGACAGCCCGTCGTACGCTGCGCTGCCAAGTGTGCACACGAGGGAAGAAAACGTTAAGGCATCAACCAAACGCCTATTCTTAACGTCCACTAAGAGTCCATGAGCACACAAAAAATCCGCTCCGAGGAGGGGAAAAGAAATGTCCGCTGTCACAAAATCCCAGCTGAAACGCTGTCCTCCGATGCACAAACACATAGGCCTCACGCCGTACGTGCGAATGGGACTGCCGTTAGCCGTCGTCATTCGCGGTCCGTGCCCCCCACGGGCGACGTCTTCACTCGACGCTGGAACTACGCTCCGTTGAGCGCCCGTGTCACACAGAAACAGGCTCCCCGAAACGCTGTCGCTGACGAAGAGGAGCCTGCACGTGCCGCCGACGCTCAGAGCCACTACTGAGCGCCGGCCCCTCCGTTTCCCGGGGGTTTGTAGCTGCACGGAGCGATGCATCTCTTCGCCCTTGTCCCGAAACGTGCGTGGTAAACGCACTCTCCGGCGTCTCCACGCCGGCTAGCCACAGCCGTGTCCGGCCTCCGCCACGCTTTCTTGACTGCCGGTGGGCCGCTGAGCGTCGCGGCTAACGTCTCTGCCCCGGGCTGTTGCGTAGCCAGGAAAAAACGATCCGCTTCCTCAGCCAAAGCACGGGGCTCCGTGACAGGCGTGTTGGCCAGCGCCGTCTGTACCTGGGGAGGCAAGTGACGCAGGAAAATCTCCGTGAATAAAATACGGGGATCTTCCCCCCCTAGCAGATTTAGCATTTTCTCCATTAGCTGGGATGGCTTGCTGTCTCCTAGGCCTTGAATGTCAAGTATCTGGCGGGCCCTCTCCTTAGCAGATAAGCTAAATGTCTTAAGGAGAAGGGCCTTAATCGCCTCATATTTGCCATGATGTGGGGGGGCTGCGATGAATCCCACCAACCTGGACGACGTGGAGCTCCCCAGCGCTGCTACCACATGGTAGTATTTTAGGTCCCCGTCACGGACCTGTCGGCAGGCGAAATGTGCCTCCACGTGTGCGAACCATGCCTCCGCGGTGTGCTCCCAGAATTCCGGCAGCTTTATGAAAACATCGCGCTCAGCCATGTTCGTTAATTTTCCGGAAACTTTCTCGGAAAAGTCAGGGTCACCAGTGTAGTGCCGTGAAAAGAGAGTCGGAGGCGGTGTATTAAGAATGGAGTTCCAATCTTTATTATCCATTACTTTCAGAGAGGTTAACACATGCACTGCTCTGCCTGATGAGCTAGCAGGAATGGCAGCTAAAGCTACAGGTGTTCCCCACTAAAGGGTCCGTGTGGCAACACAATAAGCAAGGTGAATTATGTCCAATAACGTGTCACCACAAAGGTAAACCATGTTAGCATTGTGGGCTACCACCTAGCGCCACTTGTTTTGATGTACGTTTTTGTTGATAACGTCGCGAGTTTGTATCTTTCAGTGTTGAGGTGGGCACCGTTAGATTCTGTGTCTCCTTGCGATCATAAACGATGTGTAGGATAAGTAATAAGGGAGCTAGGAGTGATTATCGGTGCAGTAATAGGTTAGCATTTTTCGCTCAGGGGTCATTTAGATGCTTCTTATGAGACTTGTGTTTTGTTTTGGTAAAAATTGTTTGTATCGTCAGTTAGCTGAGATTATTCCCGTTAATCTAGTATAACACATTAATAGGTTCTTAAATATTAAGATCCCCTGAGACACAGTGTCGTGAACCCGCCGAGGGGGTCCTTGGGGCTTAACAGGTTAAAGGTCACCTATTATGCAAAATCCACTTTTTGTCCCCTCTGTGAAAAGAGATTCTGAAATTTTCAGGAAAAAAGATTCTCTCACTTTTTGTCCTGATCCATTTATATAAAAACCTGTCTGAAAATGAGCTGATCAGATTTTGGCCACTTTATGATGTCATAACGATGTGTTGGCTTGTGTAACCATTAGCCAATCACCAACCAAGGTAACCCCCCCCCACCTTATCACCTGCATCTCCTCCTAGAGCACCATTGTGTTATTTTTAACCAAATCTCTCTCAGAGGGGCGTGGGGAGGGGCTCCTTATTTTCATCTAAAGTCACAGACAGAGAATCAGCACTTTGGAAACAGGGCTGAAACAGAGGGGATTATGGGTAATGCTGCAATGACCTGTTTGGTGTTTCAGCCAATCAGAGACATGTTCTGTATATATCTGAGACCATAATATATTGATGAGAAACAGTATAATAGGGGACCTTTAAGAGAAAGGAATTAATCGCTGTCATTTTGTTTCTTTCCTTCTAGATCTTTCCCTCTCCCTGCTCTCGTGCCGGCAGTCCTGTGTGACTCAGGTCGCCACGAGACCCGGGAGGATTTCTTCTCAGGAGGACTTCCTGCCCACACAGCTGGAGCATCGGCACATCGCACAGTTTAAAGGTCAGGGTCTGGAGGTCAAGCTGAATATCATTAAATGTTCTAATGCTGTATGTTTACTTTATTCTGAATTGTATTTAGAGTTTGTTACTCCCTCACTGCGAGTTGGACCCAGATACCGCTCAACAAATACACACCTGTTTGCTAAGCAGGCTCCAAAATGTTTGAAGGAGCTCCCTATAGATTTCAGGAAAGCAGAAAGTCTACTCATCTAATGTCACGGACTGAAAACCAATCTGTTTCCACTGCACCTTAGCCGAAATATAACATAAACATCTGTCTTCTGTGTGGAGCACTGAAGCCAATGCAGTAGCACTTACAATGGCTTATTGAAAACTAATGTTTTCGCCACAGGGAAGCGTGTGACGCAGTGGGTTGTGCGTTGGTGTTGGGATCAGGGGGTCACAGGTTCAAACCCCACTGCAGTCAGCATGTCCTTGTGTCCCTGAGACACTTCACCCCGAATTGCTCCTGTGGTGATTGTCCACAGTATTGAGTATGTAAGTCGCTTTGGATAAAAGCGTCTAACAAGTGACATGTAATGTAATGTAATGTACCTGCAGAATTCTTTCTTTTAGAAACATTTCTTCATCATGGTTAAATGCACTTCTTCGAAGAAAAGCATTAGCTAAATGAAATAGAATGTCATTAACATAAAAACTAAGCATTATTGGCAAAGTATGCAAACACATTGATGCCATTTGAATCTGGGTTTGTTGCTATCAAAGTAAATGCACAGAAATATACATAGCTAACAAGGATTTTGCACGAATGGATGCGGTTTTGATTTATATTTAAAACAAACAATATACAGTGAAGTTTGCATCATACCACAATCATGTTTCGAGTGCCACTCCTTCTTATTTTGCATGTCTGCTTCCCTACAGCTGGTGATGTTGGTGGAGCCGTGCAGACGCTGCGCTCTCTGCTCCTCTTCTACCCCTCCGACCATGACTCCTTAGACAACCTGCAGCTCTACTCTGAGACACTAGGAGGAGACACAGTGTCACAGGGCACTCAGCCTGCTCAGGTATATCAGACCATTACATTAAATCCACCACTTTTGTTCTAATAATCATCGTTTATTTTACGTTTTTACTTGACAAAAAGAAGTGAGAAAACCCTGTTCAGTCATTAAAGACATGCAGACTTCAAATATATATTTCATTGTTTTACTTTTCTTCATTCTGACTCCATTTCTGTTTTCACAGGAGATTGTCGGATACATTAATCGTGCTTTAGATGAGAAGAAGCTTCTGTATTTCGGCATGGAGAACCTTGACTTCAGTTTCACAGATCCAGTAAGTACCGAAGCAAATGAACATTTTCCTGCTCCACAAAATAATATCCACATTTTAATGATTGCTCTGCGTTCAGGACCTTTGGACTCCGGAAGATGTAGTGCCTGAATCACTGAGGGATAACTGGAGGTAAGATGGGAAGGAAGGATCTCCATTCAGTTGCAAGAGCTTTTTGAAGAAGTGCATGTCACGTCAACGTAGTATTGTTTTTACTTTCAGAGCTGTAAAAGAGAAAATAAATATGAAAATGGAAGAGGGAGAGAAGAAGGAGGAAGTGGATGACAGTGGATTTTATGCAGGTGAGACAATCAGTTCTTGTCGAGTTAAACAGTTAAAGTTTCCTCTCTCATTGTTTCTTACTGGTCTTCTCTCCAGGGGGTCCGGTTCCTCAGGTGGGCGTGACCATCGCCATGGACGACACGGTTTTAAACGGGACGAATCGCGTAGTTCTGGACGACGTCATGACTGAGAAGGAGTGTGAAAAGATACTGCAGCTAGCAACAGTAAGTCCATGTTGTTTTTAGATTAGTTTTCTATTATTCAACTTTATTGTCATTACGTCGTACATGTACTAGTAACGAAACGGTGTTTGGCATCTGACCAGAAGTGCTAAATAGCAGTGCAAGTGTCTACATGATATAAATAAATGAATGAATAATTATAAATAGGCTATAAACAGATGAAGTATGTACAGTATAAACAGTATTGACAGTATAGTGATAGTATAGACAGTATAAAGATATGAACAGATGTATATAGTGTGGTTATATTACTTATGTACATATATATGTTAAAGAGATCTCTTAGATAGAAACAGGAACACTCATCTGTCGTTTCCTCTCGTCTCTGATAGGCTGCAACATCTGCCGGAGATGGTTACCGGGGGCGACGATCTCCGCACACGCCTCACGAGACGTTCGAGGGTCTGACCGTCCTCAGGGCTGTGAAGGTGGGAGAACAGGAAGCAATGAGAGATGAAATATGACTTGTTGTTGTTTTCTTAAAAGTGCTTTTTATTTCCTTTAGAATAAGGACCAGGGAAACGCCAGACAATTCTTTATGTAAACTAAACATTACCGTACAGCACATCCTACAAAGTCACTGACAAATAATTGACAAATGCTTCACTTCCGGGCAAAAAGTACGGCTCCGCCCACTTTTGGGGGGAAACAAAGCTGTCATTTTGAATGGCGGTCAATACAAATTCTGAAGTTTTTGCCAATCCGATCAGAAATGTTAGAAAACCGTGGATTTTTGGATCTTCAAAGAGCCCGATTACGATGGCCAGTCAGGCAAACAATTACATTAAGCCATTAGAAATCGACGATCGGGCTCGACATATGGTTAAATATAGCAATAGGCTATCGATTTTCATAGATGAGAGTAACATACGTCACTTTACGGCCCCGCCCACTTTTGGGGGAAACAACGCTGTAATTTGAACGGCGATCAAGCCTGAAGCCAGAGAGCTCTTCTTTTACTGTCCTTTGTTCTTAGAGGAAGTACGGAAACACTGAACTCTTGATTTGTTTTACTGTTTGAGGTGCAATAAACGACACAGCAGCTTTTTGGCATGATAAAACTATTATTTTCCGCCTCGCTCATGAGAGTAACAGCTGGTTAAAATTACCACCTCGCCTACTGATTTTAATTTAACCATATATCGAGCCCGATCGTCGATTTCCAATGATTTAATGTAATTGTTTGCCTGTCTGGCCATCGTAATCGGGCTCTTTGAAGATCCACAAATCCACGGTTTTCAAACATTTCTGATCGGATTGGCAAAAACATCAGAATTTGTATTGACTGCCAATCAAATGACAGCGTTGCTTTCCCCCAAAAGTGGGCGGAGCCGTAATTTTTGCCCGGAAGTGACGTAGGTGTTACTCTCATCTAAAGCAACGTTTCTGATAGTGCCGTGGGTCCACATTTCCGATATTACGTCATATCGGATGCAAATCTGGATCAGCTCCCGTTTTTAGAGATTTGGGTACGGAGGAAATGAGAGAGGGTTTTATTTTCTGACGCTGCGTGAGTTCCCCGACACACCGGTGACACATCTTTATGTATAAAAGACATCAACAAGTGCATTTTGCATGATAGATCCCCTTTAAATAAACTAGAAGAATTTACCAAACCGTCAAAAACATGACGTGTTTTAGAGCAAACCTGAATAACCTCTACTAAATGTGAATAAATGAAATAACTAAGAATCATCATATATTAGTGTGCACTTGGGATCTCATGCTTGAACATCATTCATAAAGCTGCAATTTCTTCAACATCCTCTTGTCTCCCAGTTGGCTCAGGATGATATGGTGAACCAAACAGACGCCCGGCTGTTTTACGAGCTGGGAGAGAGAGTGAAGGTCCTGCTGCACTCGTACTTCAGGAGCCCCTCCATCCTCTACACCTCCTTCACACACCTGGTCTGCCGCAGCGCTATCGCAGGTAACACCAACATTATCTACATGTATGATATCTCCCTCATCATTACTAGCTGATGGAAATGTGATAGGGTTATCCATTTGGCACAAACACAACTACAGGGTTTCACAGAATTGTTTATACGGTGAACTTAAATGCGTTTTCCGGGTGTAAAATTGTTTTGTCTGATGTTTTCTCTATCGCAGGTAACACCAACATTACCCATAACAACACCTACATTACCAATAACATCTTTCTTGAGCATTGTTACTTGCTGGAGGAAATGTAATCAGGCTGGCCTTAAGACAATTACAGGGTTTTCCAGAAATGTTCATACGGTTAACTTAAATGCGTTTTTCAGGAGACAAATAATTTATTTGTAATGTTTTGTGTCCTCAGGTGATCAGGAGGGCAGGCTGGACTTGTCTCATCCTGTCCACGTCGACAACTGTCTGCTTGAGCCGGAGACCAATCAGTGCTGGAGAGAACCGCCAGCATTCATACACAGAGACCTCAGGTGCGCAGGAAATTAATATTTCTTTCACCCCAAAAATAATAACCATTTGTACACCAATAGACGCTTTCACACCAAGTACTTTGCCGTACTTAGTTCATCAGAACTCTTTAGTTCTGATGAACTTAGTTCATCAGAACTCTTTAGAACTAAGTACAGATCGCGTTCACACCGGAATAAATCCCTGGGGGAGGATTAGGCAAATGAAGCCGTTGACGTCACTTCTTCTTCTTCTGCTTTGGGTTTACTGGCAGGCTGCAAACAACTTCACGGCGTATACTGCCACCCGAAGTCCCCGGCCGGAAGTCCCCGGAGTTGGGGAGTTAGCTAATAATGCTAATGCGAGGATAATAAAATGGCGGCTTCACAAAACTTTTTGGGAGTGTTACGGGGCGTGGTTTGCAATCCGCCCAGCCTATCAGAAATGCGAACCTTTTTCTCCCACGAAAGTACTCAGACTGAAAGGGGGGTGGAAAGGTTCTCATGAACTAAGTTCTATTTCTGGATTTTTTTGGTGTGGACGCACATTTTCTGAACTATATCGGAACTATACTGGGAAAAGTACTCCGGTGTGAAAGCGCCTATTCACTAATCCGGTTTGACCTTTCATTTATAAAGGAAAAATAACTAAATCAAAACATTAATTAAAAAATGTTCACACAACCCGTGCAGTTTAATGCACGTCTCACTTATCTAATCGTTTACTCATGACTTCTCAAACATATTTTCATGAAGAGCTTAATGTTTAAAACACAGTAATTGCACGAAGGAAAAGCACGCCTCCACCAGCGTGAGTGTTTATGCAGAAATATTTTAAATATTCAGGTTTTAGTGAACATGCATTGTTTTAGTGTGTAAATGGTGTTTAACTGTTGGTAAACTAAGCCCCCATTTACTACATTTAATTGTTTATGAATTTTTGAAAGAAATACAGGGTGAGTGATTCATATTTGACAAAGGGTAAATTTAGGCAAAGCCAAAGAGAGAGAAAAGATAGTAATGCTTTGCAAATCTACCCAAAAAATAGATATTACATTTTTAAAAGCCTAAACAAGATTATTATATATAAATTACAACCTTACTAGGCCCATAAAGGCCTAAGTAAGTAAAGTAAAGTAAGGAAATAAAAGCTACTATAATCCCCATCCCTGATGTTTCTTCATTTGAACACCTGATCTTTAAACTCTCTGGTCCCACTCCCCTGGTCACAGCCATCATCTACCGTCCCCCGAAGCCAAACCCCTCCTTTCTCTCCGACCTCTCTGACATTCTCACTCAGCTTTCTGCCATATCCCCATCTGTTCTCCTCTTAGGTGATTTTAACATTCATGTTGACGACCCGACCTGCAAATATGCCTCTGAATTTAAGGAAACCCTTCACTGCTGCAACTTCTCTCAACACATCAACTTCCCAACACACAGCCGTGGTCACATCCTGGACTTGGTCTGCTCCACTGGTCTCACCATCCATCATCTGTCCAGCCTCAATCTCCACATCTCTGATCACCTGGCCATCATCATGGACATCAACATCCCCGCCCAAAAGCAAAAATGCACAATAACCTACAGAAATCTCAAATCCATCTCACCTTCAGCAATCACTGCCTCCATTACCTGCAAGATGTCTGTCCCCCCCCCCACTTTCTGAAAACCCATCTGAACTTGTGGACTATTATAACAGCACCCTCTCCTTCTGTCTCAATGAACTGGCCCCCACAAAAGCAAAAAATGTCTCTTTCATACACTCCGCCCCCTGGTATACCCCGAACTCCGCCAAATGAAATCAAGGAAACGTCAACTTGAACGCCAACACAAGAAAACCACACTAACAGTCCATCTTCAAATCTACAAAGACTATCTCCAGCAGTACAGTAACGCACTCAAAGCAACCCGGTCTAATTACTACTCACAACTCATTCAGTCTGGCTCCAGCAACCCCAAGCGTCTGTTCTCCACCATCAGCAAACTTCTCAAACCCTGTGACAACGCCATCTCATCCTTCACCACCGAACAGTGCAACTCCTTCCTCCCAAACCAAAATCAGCAACATTTACAGCAATCTGACACCCTCATCACCACCCCCCACCTCCCCTCCTGGCTCCCCCCCTTCACCTCACAGCCCCTGTCCCACTTCTCCCCTGTGACCCCCATGCAACTGTCCGACTTCATGACTGGAATTAACTCCACCTGCACACTTGACCCAATGCCCTCCAAATTTGTTAAAGAGAGCCCCCCTGCCATCTCCCAACTCATCGCCACCATCATTAACTCCTCCCTCAGATCTGGATCAGTTCCCCCCTCTCTCAAACTGGCTGCTGTCACACCCATTCTCAAAAGACCTGGACTCACACCTGACATCATGTCCAACGTCCGGCCCATCTCAAATCTCCCCTTTCTGTCAAAAATACTTGAACGTGTCGTTGCCTCACAACTTAAAACCCACCTCAGCTCCAATGATCTCTTTGAGCCATTTCAATCCGGTTTCCGATCAAAACACAGCACCGAAACAGCTCTTCTCAAAATCACAAATGACCTCCTCCTCTCCTCTGACTCCGGCAACCTTAACATCCTCATCCTCCTCGACCTCACCGCAGCATTCGACACCATCAACCACGCCATCCTGCTGTCCCTCCTCGAATCATCACTCAACATCACCGACACTGCACTCTCCTGGCTGAAATCCTACCTCACCGACAGACATCAGTTTATCAACATCAACAACTGCACCTCCTCCACTGCTCCTCTGTCCCAAGGTGTCCCCCAGGGTTCAGTGCTTGGCCCCCTCCTCTTCATCCTCTACATGCTCCCCCTTGGCAAAATAATTTGTCGCCACAACCTTCAATTTCACTGCTACGCCGATGACATCCAACTTTATATCTCAACAAAAACCATCACCCCCACAACACACTCCACTCTCACCAACTGTCTCTCAGAAATAAAAGCATGGATGCAAACAAACTATCTCCACCTGAACAGTGCCAAATCAGACATCATCATCATCGGCCCCCCATCCCGTATCAAATACATCAGAAGCCAACCTCCTATCCATCCCCACCCGCACCAATCACCGGACCTGGGGGGACAGAGCCTTCTCCGTCGCTGCCCCCTCCCTCTGGAACTCACTCCCCCAACCCATCAGAGACTGCACTGACCTCACCACCTTCAAAAAACTCACCTCTTCAATCTGGCTTTTAATGTGTGATTGTTTTTGTATTATTTGACTTTAACTTTAACTATATATTTATTTGTTGTTCCTTCCTTTTCCCTTCACTATATCTGTAAAGCGTCTTTGAGCACCTGTAAAAGCGCTAACAAATTAAATCTATTATTATTATTATTATTATAAAGGTTCTTAAAGAGGACATATTCTGCTACTTGCATATTTGTATTCCGTGTCTCTACTGTGACATGTCTCCATGCTTTAATGTTCAAAAAGCTCTTTATTGTTCTCATACTGCCTGTGCTGCAGCACCTCTTTTCACCCTCTGTCTGAAACCAGAGCCCAGTCTGCTCTGATTGGTCAACCACTTAGAAATGTCCCGCCCCTTAGCCTATCCAATGTATTTGGAGCGCTTGTTTATAGAAGTGTGAGTGTTAAATAGTGATGTCATTATGTTACAGAAGTAAACAAAGGAGTCCAATCGAGGCATTTCAGGCAGAGTGTGACAGAAACTTCCTTTGGAGGGAACTTTGGGATTTTAGCCTTTGGAGACCATTTACATGCACAAAAACCTATTTAACACTCAACTGGAACAGGAAGACCACAAAAAGCCCAACAGGGCCACTTTACCCTTAATAACAATGCTTTATTCCTGTTTCTCTCACAGTGCCCTTCTCTACCTGAATGACAACTTTGATGGAGGAGACTTGTTCTTCACTAACAGGGACGCAAAGAGAGTAACAGTGAGTCACTTTTGTCCTTTACATGGCAGCTGTTTCAGCCCTCTTTCCAAAGTGCTGATTCTCTTTAGATGAAAATAAGGAGCCCCTCCCCACGCCCCTCTGAGAGAGATTTGGTTAAAAAGAACTCTTTAGGCGCAATAGGCGCATTCACACTGCGGTACTTTTCCCACAAAGGTTCATGTGAACTTAGTTCATGTGAACTCTTTAGTTCTCATGAACTAAGTACAGATCGCGTTCACACTGGAATAAGTCCCTGGGGGAGGATTAGGCAAATGAAGCCGCTGACGTCACTTCTTCTTCTTCTGCTTTGGGTTTACTGGCAGGCCGCAAACAACTTCACGGCATATACTGCCGCCCAAAGTCCCCGGCCGGAAGTCCCCGGAGTTGGGGACTGGCTTCAGTAGAAGCTGCTGGGAGTCCCAGCAGCTTCTACTGAAGCCTTCCGAGTAAATCACCAGAACGCCGACACCTCCTCATCTCCACCGCTCCCATGCTTTATTTTGTGTTGCCATAAGTTAGTCTCTCTGCGTTTCTGCGCTGGGCTAATGCTAATGCTAATGCAAGGATAATAAAATGGCGGCTTCACAAAACTTTTCCCAGTCCCAGCAGCTTCTACTGAAGCCAGTCCCCAACTCCGGGGACTTCCGGCCGGGGACTTTGGGCGGCAGTAAGTGGTTGGTTTGCTGCCTGCCAGTAAACCCAAAGCAGAAGAAGAACAAGTGACGTCAGCGGCTTCATTTGCCTAATCCACCCCCAGGGACTTTTTCCAGTGTGAACGCGATCTGTACTTAGTTCATGAGAACTAAAGAGTTCACATGAACTAAGTTCACATGAACCTTTGTGGGAGAAGTACCGCAGTGTGAATGCGCCTAATGGTGCTCTAGGAGGAGATTCAGGTGATAAGGGGGGAGGGGGTTACCTTGGTTGGTGATTGGCTAATGGTTACACAAGACAAAACATCGTTATGACATCATAAAGTGGCCAAAATCTGATCAGCTCATTTTCAGACAGGTTTTTATAGAAATGGATCAGGACAAAAAGAGAGAGAATCTTTGTTCCTGAAACTTTCAGAGTCTCTTTACACAGAGGGGACACATGTTGATGTAGAAGAGACATGAAGAAGAGGGGACACATGTTGATGTAGAAGAGACATGAAGAAGAGGGGACACATGTTGATGTAGAAGAGACACGAAGAAGAGGGGACACATGTTGATGTAGAAGAGACATGAAGAAGAGGGGACACATGTTGATGTAGAAGAGACATGAAGAAGAGGGGACACATGTTGATGTAGAAGAGACATGAAGAAGAGGGGACACATGTTGATGTAGAAGAGACATGAAGAAGAGGGGACACATGTTGATGTAGAAGAGACATGAAGAAGAGGGGACACATGTTGATGTAGAAGAGACACGAAGAAGAGGGGACACATGTTGATGTAGAAGAGACATGAAGAAGAGGGGACACATGTTGATGTAGAAGAGACACGAAGAAGAGGGGACACATGTTGATGTAGAAGAGACACGAAGAAGAGGGGACACATGTTGATGTAGAAGAGACATGAAGAAGAGGGGACACATGTTGATGTAGAAGAGACATGAAGAAGAGGGGACACATGTTGATGTAGAAGGGCACATGTAGAAGAGGGGACACATGTTGGTGTAGAAGAGACATGAAGAAGAGGGGACACATGTTGATGTAGAAGAGACATGAAGAAGAGGGGACACATGTTGATGTAGAAGAGACATGAAGAAGAGGGGACACATGTTGATGTAGAAGAGACATGTAGAAGAGGGGACACATGTTGGTGTAGAAGAGACATGAAGAAGAGGGGACACATGTTGATGTAGAAGAGACATGAAGAAGAGGGGACACATGTTGATGTAGAAGAGACATGAAGAAGAGGGGACACATGTTGATGTAGAAGAGACATGGAGAAGAGGGGACACATGTTGATGTAGAAAATACATGAAGAAGAGGGGACACATGTTGATGTAGAAGAGACATGAAGAAGAGGGGACACATGTTGATGTAGAAGAGACATGAACAAGTGGATTTTCCATAATAGGTGACATTTAAAACCTTTTCCCTCCTCTTTGTCTGCAGGCTCGAGTGAAGCCCAGCTGTGGGCGACTGGTGGGCTTCTCCTCGGGTCCCGTAAACCCTCACGGTGTTTCAGCGGTGACCCGCGGCCGGCGGTGTGCACTGGCGCTGTGGTTCACCAAAGAGAAGCTGTACAGAGACATGGTGAGCACGATGAAGACCAGAGGGGGGAAGTAGTGGAGTACAAATACTTCGTTACTGTACTTAAGTACATCTTTATGGTATCAGTACTTTACTCCACTACTTATTTTTCTGACGACTTTTTACTTTGACATCTTACATTTTGAACACAAATACCTGTAATTTCTACTTCTTACATGTTGAACACAAATACCTGTACTTTCTACTTCTTACATGTTTAACACAAATACCTGTACTTTCTACTTCTTACATGTTGAACACAAATACCTGTACTTTCTACTTCTTACATGTTGAACACAAATACCTGTACTTTCTACTTCTTACATGTTGAACACAAATACATGTACTTTCTACTTCTTACATGTTGAACACAAATACCTGTACTTTCTACTTCTTACATGTTGAACACAAATACATGTACTTTCTACTTCTTACATGTTGAACTCAAATACCTGTACTTTCTCTTCTTAATGTTACCCAAATACCTGTACTTTCTACTTCTTACATGTTGAACCCAAATACCTGTACTTTCTACTTCTACATGTTGAACCCAAATACCTGTACTTTCTACTTCTCACATGTTGAACTCAAATACCTGTACTTTCTACTTCTTACATGTTGAACCCAAATACCTGTACTTTCTACTTCTTACATGTTGAACCCAAATACCTGTACTTTCTACTTCTTACATGTTGAACTCAAATACCTGTACTTTCTACTTCTTACATGTTGAACACAAATACCTGTACTTTCTACTTCTTACATGTTGAACCCAAATACCTGTACTTTCTACTTCTTACATGTTGAACACAAATACCTGTACTTTCTACTTCTTACATGTTGAACACAAATACCTGTACTTTCTACTTCTTACATGTTGAACCCAAATACCTGAACTTTCTACTTCTTACATGTTGAACTCAAATACCTGTACTTTCTACTTCTTACATGTTGAACTCAAATACCTGTACTTTCTACTTCTTACATGTTGAACACAAATACCTGTACTTTCTACTTCTTACATGTTGAACCCAAATACCTGAACTTTCTACTTCTTACATGTTGAACTCAAATACCTGTACTTTCTACTTCTTACATGTTGAACTCAAATACCTGTACTTTCTACTTCTTACATGTTGAACCCAAATACCTGAACTTTCTACTTCTTACATGTTGAACTCAAATACCTGTACTTTCTACTTCTTACATGTTGAACTCAAATACCTGTACTTTCTACTTCTTACATGTTGAACACAAATACCTGTACTTTCTACTTCATACATGTTGAACTCAAATACCTGTACTTTCTACTTCTCACATTTTCCAAACAGCTGGTTCCTTTAGTCTGAATGTGTGTTTGGTGGCGTGATCATTATTGTTTAGAGTCATTGCGTGCCTATTGATTTGAACACGATCCGTGTATCCATCATTTCCTGGTCTTCTCTAAAGAAGAGGGACCAATGGAAACGTTGTCATGTTGCCGTTGTTCAGCATGGAAACATTCATTAGCTAACAATGACATTATTGTTCTATTAATATAAAGGGAGCTCAGGTACTCTTTAAAGCAGCTGCTAGTTATGGGTACTTTTTACTGAAGTACATTTCAAAGCCTCTTTACTTTCACTTGAGTAAAGGAGTTTAGTCAGTACTTCTACTTTTACCAGAGTATTTTTAAACACGAGTATCTGTACTTCTACTTGAGTAAAGGATGTGTGTACTTGTGCCATCTCTGGTGAGGACTCTCAGCTCCTCCCCAGGTCCGACCTTTCGCCTGTAGTCGGCGGTGGTTAGTGTCGTGACTCCGGTGTTGAATAACAAGAGCCAGCTGGAGAGCGATGCAAATCTGGTGGCTTGTTCTCCAGTTTCTGCGTTCACAGTGCCCGGCAGCCTTCTGTCATACCACAGTGTTCTTTAGGTTTATCATATGCTGACTTTATTAGTCTTTTCTATTTGTTTTACCGTGACCCTACTTTTTCATATATACCATTATCCTACAGTTGTCATTGGTTATTGTTAAGGTGAGGCTACAGACTCATTTATATAGAAATATTCATCTAGAAATGACCTTATTCCTCTCAAAGGAACACAACATTTTTGACTGATTGACAGTTATTTGTATTTCTTAGTAAAATGCGTTATAAATAAAGTTACACAATGTTTTCCTTGGTTGTCAGATTTAATACTATGTTATCATATGCAGTGGATATTTAATCAAAACAACAACAAAAAAACATATTTTGTCCATGTATAAATTAAGACACATGTGATTCCCTACAGAGTTTGGCCTTCAAAAATGTATTTGCCACATTTTCCTATATTTTTCATATATATATAAAATATACAGTTTTCAAAATACATCTTTTCAGATTCTGCATGGTCTGAAGGCATCTTGTCAGTCTTATATCCTCTGAGCAGAATCTGTCTATCATAGCGTTACTCAGGATCACACTTCTTCCAAAATGTGTTTGTTGTACATTCCAAATGTGCTTTTCTTGCCATTGTGGCCACGGGAAATCAATATTTCTTCATGCTTTCGTTTCCCTCCCTCAGGAGCGAGAGGAGGCCGCGGCCATGTGGGCTGCAGGTGGACAGAGTGTGATGAAAAATGAGGAAGAGGAGAAGGAGAGCGGCGCCTCGCCCGCGAGGAACGCTCGCAACCAGGCCTCGCGTCAAGGGAGAGGAAGAGTGACGGGGGCGAGAGACGAGCTGTGAGAGGCACAACAAACCACAGACTGACCCTCAGACACTGAAACACACTTTCATTTCTGCATCCACTTCAATAGACCAGCCCACCAGCCCATCACACCATCCATCACTTCAAGTTTCAAGGCTTTTATTGTCATGTGTGCATAGCTACAGTGTAGTTATGACATGACAATCTTAGGTCACAGGCTCCTCCAACAGTGCAACACAATAACACAGATAATAGTGCAAGTAAATACAATAAAATCAACTCCATATTACTAACAGATACATTTCTTAAAATAGTGCAAGTTATACTATAGAATACAAAGTGCAAGGAGAGTCTATATACAAGTAATTGGAATATGATATATTAGATAAATAATTTGTAAGTTGCGAACAGATGAATGTTATGGATGTTCTTTCTTTCATCACGAGATTTTAAAGATTTGAGTCATTTGATTTATCCTGCTGCCCTTTTATGTAAAGCTGCTTGTCTGCTGTATGTATACTGTCTGTGTTGAAGGTTTGTGAAGGAAACACAACGCTCTCCTCCCTCTCATGTCCATCTGTACTTTGGTTTCAGCAGCTTTACTCACCAAGATCACTCCCTTTTCAAAATGACGAGAATAAAAGAAAAGTAAATATGACTCTATACTGATGTCGCTACTACTATCCACCATATTACTAACATATAACTAACTTAATAAATATCAACTCATTATGAATGGGTAATCAAAAACCTTAACTTGGTTTGATCGAATAAAAAATGATGATTCAGGTTTCAGGAGCCCAGACACACTCACAACTATAAATGAACCAAAAACAAATAAATAAACAAGTTTAAATGTTTTTTCATAATGGATATGGTATGTTATTGGCTATGGCCATGTTATTATGATTTTATGATTATTTAAATGTAACAGTTCTGTTTCATATGGGTGTAGTCTCTTTATTTCCCCCTCAAAGTGCACCAGATTGATGCATTTAAGTCCAACATTTAAAAAACCGGGGGAGGATTTGAGGTCCACCTCCACTTAAAATATGTTCACATAGGTTCCTAAATAGATTTGCACATTATTTGAAATAGTGACCCATGTCCATATGTTTATTCTTGGGTAGTAGATTTAAACTAGAGGGCTATCACTACGGGCAGCAACGCTGTAAATATTGACAAATAAATCCAGAACAATGGCACAAAAGAAAACTGGTAGTGGCCTGGCTGGGTGTATAATTCCCGGCCTGACTTATTTTCCCAGTCCGGCCCTGCATGAGTAACATACAACATATTACTAACACATAACTAACTAAATTAATATAAATGGGTTATTAAAAAACCTAAACTGTGTTAGAAGTATTACAAAATAGAGTTTTAGTGCACAGACAATTTAACAGCAGAAAGCAGCAACTCCCTATTTCTAAGATACAAAGAAATGTGTTAAAAATACAAGAATATGAAATATATAAACATTATTAGTGCATTGGCCGACTTGTGGCTCAGGTAAAATACTTCAAAGTCCTTCATTAACCGCTTAAACAATTAATAGACCTAACAATTGTGAAAACATCGAAATGAGCACTTCAAAAAATGGCTATAAAAAAGAAAAATATTCAGTATCTACTAGGGCTGCACGATAATCGCGTTATGCGTTTCTTTTTATTTATTTTTTTAGGACGTGCGATCTCAAAGGTCCCATGTCATGCTTTTCCGGATATTACCCGTCCCCTTGTGTGTTACGAAGGTTTGCCTGCATGTGAACGGTCTGCAGAGTCACAAACCCTCAAAGTACACCCTGTAGCGAGTAAAACTCTAACACAGAGAAGACCTGTCTGTGCTGCCCCAGAACGCCTCGTTGGAGATTTCTCATTTTCCATTGTTTGCCTCCTGGGTTCTGTGACGTGTGAACCAAATGGACCAATCCGCGGAGCACCTCACACACCAAGATCCCTTGGCTAACTAACTGGGAGTCCCATTGACTTGCATAGAGCTCCCTGAACGCTGGTAATAGTAGAGTTGGGATCGCGGAGAAATGCTCTCCGCAGACCCATTCTCACAGCGTTATAAACCTTTTTCTTACTCAATATCAAGCCACACTTATTGTTTTCACTTCGGCTGTGAGTGTTTGTGTGTGCTCAGTTTCGCTGTATCGCGGACCCGGAAACCTGTCCGCTCCTCGCAGTGGCGAGCGAGCAGCAACGAGCCTCGCAACGTCCCAACCAATCAGAGCACACTGGGCTCACAGGGAGGGGGAGGGGGGGGGGGGGCAGGAGCTCCAACAAGCCGTTTAGGACAGAGAGTGAATACACATACTATACAGAGATGCTGTGAGAAACCAATGTGATTTTGGAAAATTGCACAATTTAAATCTATTCTAGTAGACCTCAACAATGGAAATATGATCAGTAGAAATGGCCATGACATGGGACCTTCAAGGAGGCAAATGAACTCAAACACATCATGTTACAATTATTTTGCTGCTCGCTACAAAAGGAAAAGTCGCGCGGCTCTCATGTCAGGGGTACGTGAGTGAGTGACATGCCGGCTCTGCATGCACAGCAAACCACCAATCACAATCATTCTTGATCAGATCACAGCAGGATAACCGAGCTAGCTCAGCTTGTTGCTCTGATAACTTAAGATCCAGAATTCCGTGACTAAAATCCTTCATCCGGTTAAATATCGTTACAAAAAAATACCAATTGTATAGCATTAAAGTTCAAGAAAGGAAGGTTTGTGGACAAAAAAAGCGGTCTTTTCTTCAATCCCTGTATTATTTCATATCGCAGGGGGAGAAAATATCGCAATGTCAGTTTTTTCCAATATCGTGCAGCCCTAGTATCTACTCAAAGCCACTTCATAATAACAAAAATAATACATTATGTTGATATAGTGTGTTTCACAGTGCTTATACAATCTTATACAAGAAAAGAAAATACAACAAAGAATACAAAATAAATCAATATGAGTCTATACTGATCTCACATGAGCTTCATACACTATGACACACGAGTGAGGGGCTCAAAGAGAGGAGAGAAAAGTTCAATGAAAGACTGTAATCTATTAAGTGATCACCTCACGCCCTGATTAAAAAAACATCGTAATACTTTCCTCGACGCTTCGGCCTGTTAGTGCGAGCATGTGATAAAATGAGCGATTAGACGGCAGAAGGAAACTGTAAAAGCACATTTGTGTCAGAAACTACACTTTGAGACAGAGAGGGAGAAACTGGAAGAGAGAGAGAGAGAGAGAGAGAGAGAGAGAGAGAGAGAGAGAGAGAGAGAGAGAGAGAGAGAGAGGACCCGAGAGAGAGAGAGAGAGAGAGGAGAGAGAGGGAGAGAGCGAGAGAGAGAG